TCTTGATAATATTTTCCTTTTATGAATGGAACACACTGGCTATCCTAAAATACGTTTTCTTCAGTTAAAGAAATGCTCGAAAAATCGTTTTTCTAAAATATATACGGTTATATGCAGTTTTTAACGTTGATTCCGAATATGATGTTTATTTTTGTTCCGCCGATGCACTAGAACGTTGAAAACGGTCAAAATGTTCAGTGTTTTCTGCCATTTAATGAAAAAAGGCGTATTTTTCATAATTCTTTATTTCGCATTTCACCAGATTAAAAACGTGACAATCCGGATTCAATGCATCGTGTAGAGCAAGTAATTCTCTACAAAACCCTATATATGACTATGTTCTGTAATTTCGATTTTCCGAACATTTCTTTAACTGAAGAAAACGTATTTTAGGATAGCCAGTGTGTTCCATTCATAAAAGGAAAATATTATCAAGACATTGATAAAATCGCAATAGTTTGTTGCCAAAATGTAGCTCAGATCAAGAACAATCAGAGTATATATAATACATATACGTTGTAAAGAATTTCGGTGTTTATTTTGATAATTTCTGAAGAATTTTCTAAAAAATGATTTTTTGTGAAAATCATCTAATTTTTATGATTTTTGTGAAAATTATCGAAATTTCACGCTCAACACGTTCTTAATTATTAATGAAATTTACGAAACTGGTTCGGTTAATTTTCATATTTTACCATAGTCTAAAAATCCTGAAAGTTTCATCCAATTTGGAAATACTTGTGTATTTTGTGGTAGAGACCCTATGAAATATCTCCATTGTAAAATTTCCAGAAATCCATTAAAAATGGATTATAGGGATTTTTTTCCTTATTTGGTGAAAAATGTTACATTATCATTAGAATATGTACATTATTTGAGGTTAATAAGTGAAAAATAATGTGTAGTACTATTCATTCTCGGCTATATGAGTCATTCTTCTGTTGAATTAGGGTCAATTTCACTGCCACAGTCGACTTGTCTTACTTCTATGCGAAATATGTTCTAAATTGGTAGTGATTGAAGTGCACTATCTCGGAGATGTTATTGAATGAAATCTTCATATTCTATACCTTAGCGTTAACCATGATTAAAAGTCAACTGACATTATCATCAACACCTATCCTCAATTTCTATTATACTGAACATAGTAAGTTTTCAAACTTGTTCGAATTTGATTGTCTCGATTATTTTGTTACCGACGACATTGTTAAATATGAGACACATTATTCATGGGCTCATCAATTTATTGCGTACTGTATCCGACCCACTCATGGTACTTGGAAATCATTGTCGACGGAGAATCCATCAATGTTCGCGTCAAATTTTACTTTTGAAGAGCTGAAACATAATGGTATTACTGGCGCAGAACTACTCTCCTGGTCAGCAACGATGGACCTGGTTGAGAACTACGAAGCTTATCTGGCTGGTGATGTGCTCACTAGTGACACGGATGTCTATTATAATTGTACTCCATCCTGGTTCGGAAATCGATGTGAATATACTTTATCTCTTGGGGATCAATTGTCATTGCCAGATATAATTTCACTTGTTTTCAGTCTGAAGAGTCATGATTATTATTGGCCAGATGGTATTCCGTGCTACACTCTGATACAGGTTAAAATTTTGAAGTTAGATTGTCAAAGATAGAGCATAGCTTCTTCATTTGAATTTAGTGTAATCGTGGACCTCGGGTACGTTGTCTCGATTGGCGTGAGATTTGTGATGGTAAAATCGATTGTATCGATGGTGGTGCCGATGAAGTGCATTGTTGGCAACTCGAACAATGGGATGTAGTACCAGGCCAGAATGAATTTCGATGTCATAATGGTATGCACAGTATTTCGAACCAATACCATCGTGATGCCCTGTTCAATCCTGATTGTATCGATCGTTCAGATGAATCAAGTCAATCCGATCAATGGGATCAATGTTATCAAGATCCAGCATTTCGATGCGAAGAACATACATGTCGGATGAGCCGTGACAATGCAATTTTAGTTTGTGGTGATGGTCAATGTGTTCGCGATTGGAATGAATGCAAAAATGGGCGAGGATATTCGAGATGGACGAATTCCGATTTGCCCACTCTCCCATCGAATTGCGAAGATTTGATGTTTTGTTTGACACGAATGCGTAGTACTGTCAGACGTATGCCTTGTACATGGTTTTGTAACGGGCGATGCGCTTTCAATCTGCCTTACAATTGTCCAGAGAAATTTCCGTTTCCGTCGGAATTCATCGCACTTGGTCATGTTTTCTTTCTCTACGAGAGTGCGAATGGCGATCGAACGATGGACAGAATTTTACCAAGCTACGTATGTTTCAAGCCAGAAAAGTGCCCACTGATTCAAAGCATAATGATGTACAATGGAAGTGCATGCTTTCAATTCGATCGTATTAGCTTACGATTGCAGCATCAACTACATTGGCTTCGTTTAGTATCGCTCATTGAAGGTTATTTTCTAACTCATTGTTTCTTGACCTCTTCTCAATCATGTTCGAATAACGTCACCACACATCGTTGTGCCAATTCATCGAAATGTATCTCAAAACATCGTCTTCTCGATGGAGTTCAAGATTGTTTGGAGAACGATGATGAATCGTTTACTGACAGTTGTTCTCTGAATCACACCGATCGACATCGATGCATCGATACCGAGAAAAAATGCATTTCTCCGTTTGTTCTGCATGATGGTCAGTTTGATTGCCCGGCTGGTGAAGATGAGTTTAAGTCATTGTCAAGAATTGTCACTAGTCAAACACAAATTTCATTTTTCACTCTATGCGATGGTTTTCAAGAACTAATACCAATCTTAATCGATGGTCGAAACCATACCGATGAAACTGAATGTCATCAATGGCCGTGTCGAAATCTCTATACGGCCTGTAATAATATTTGGAACTGTCCGGATGGCAGTGATGAACAAAACTGTCCGGATATCAACAGTCAACTAATCGATCGATTATGTATTAATCCAATAAAATCGAATGATTTCTGCTCATCACTCTATGAGAATAATTTGACGCATTGTCGATTACGGACTAATGTATCGCAACTGTGTTTTAATGTAACATCTGATACATACAATGAATTTCACCAGTGGACTACTGATAAATACTTACCCCACAGTCAAATATGTCATTTAATCACTGGGTGTTCAGCTAATCTTCATCCAGTCATGCCAAACATCATCGGGCACCAGTTATTTGTCTGTACGATTGGAAAATTAACACAAATCCAAGAGGTTTCTTGTACTTTATCGAGAGAGTACAAGTCATGGTTCTATAGTAGTCTAAGCTCGACTGTGGCTGTTAATAAAGTAGTTCCATCGATCCGATCGACACGAGAAAAACGTCAACTGGATGAGTATCTTAGTCCTTGGTATTGCCATCGGGGTTTAGGCATTTGGTTTTTGGATACAGTTCGTCAAAGAAAATGTCTCTGTCCACCCAGCTACTATGGAGACCGTTGTCAGTATCAAAATCAACGCGTTAGTTTGACACTTTATATTGATTCACAGAACAACTATCGTTCGATTTATAGCGTCGTGGTCATGTTAGTCGGTGAAGATGGAATGATTGAATCATTTGATCAGATTTTCTATATTCCAATGCATCATTGCGATATGCGCAAATTCAATCAATATTTAATTTATCGTTCTCGTCCGAAGGATCCTCACAAAAATTTTAGTGTTCAGCTGCATGCCTATAATAAACATACCTTAAACTATCATGGAAGTTGGTTGTTTCTCTTATCTTTTCCCTTTCTACCTGTTCATCGTCTGACAGTCGCCATTCAGATCCCATCCGAGCAACCCCCACGTTGTTCGTTTTGGTGTGGTAATCATGGTCAATGCTTTCGATTTCTGAATCGAAAGGACCCAGATGCATTCTATTGCCGTTGTGATCCAGGCTGGACAGGAACACAATGTCTTGTAAAGTATGAAGCGTGTCAGCGATGCGCTTCAGATTCATTGTGTATAGGTCCGAATATTTGTGTTTGTCGTCTTGGCACAAGTGGACGTCGCTGCTACGTCAAACTTAATGGATGTACTTCACTCTACAGCAGTTGCCCACAGGATCATCTGTGTGTACCCTTATATATCCGTGCTTCTCTCAAGCCATTCATATGCTGTGATCCAGACAATTCAAGATGGTCATGTGAACCTGTCGATCAAAAAATTTCAATCTCATTTCATTCCAAGATCAAAATTCCTGATTCGCTGCAGGCTTATTTGGTTTTGATCCGTAATCTTCAAGACTTAAAATTGACACCTGTATTTGTTAAAATTCCGTACGGTCAAGCTTCGGTTATACTCAAAATTGGTTACCCATTCACTTTTGTATTAGTTACCCTATGGGCTAAAGATTATTATCTGGTATATAAAGGACAAAGCGCAAGTAGTGATCAAAATGTCAATGAGACAATTTCAGTATTTGTGGAACCGTCCAATCGTTGTTTGTCTGTTAGTGAACTATTCAATAATAGCATTGTGAAGCTTCATCGTCTTCGGAGAATGAAGTATTATCATAGACCATGTCAGGATCGGTTGGATTTGGTATGCTTTTATGATGAAATGTATCTCTGTGCCTGTGTGGATAGCATAAATCAGCGTCAAGCACATTGTACAGAGTTCTACCGTAATGGATCAGATAGGTGTCGAGGAATAGCTAACAATGGCGGTTGTCTCAACGGAGCTCAATGCTTGCAAGATGCACCGACTTGTCCGACAGTGTCCTTGTGTGTGTGTACTGAATGTTACTATGGAACTTATTGTCAATTTACGACCAAAAGTTTTGGTTTGAATCTCGATGCCATTCTTGGTTATCAAATTCGACCGAATGTCTCTATTCTACGGCAACCACTGGTGATCCAAGTGAGTATATTAACAATGGTTCTAATGTTGCTGATAGGTGTATTGGAGAGTTCAGTCTCACTCGGAACATTTCTTCGAAAAGGGATCCGTAACGTAGGCTGTGGAAGATACTTAATTTGCAGTGCAATTGCATCCCTCCTTACATTGATCTTCTTTGCTCTGAAGCTTTGGTTTCTTCTCTTGACACAAATGGCCATTATTCGTCACCCTATATTTCTGAAATTGAATTGTATGACAATCGATTTTTTTCTTCGAGTCTTTCTCAGCAGCTACGATTGGTTGAATACCTGTGTCGCTGCCGAACGCGCAATGGTTGCCTTCAAAGGTACCAGTTTTGATAAGAAGAAAAGCCTTGAATTGGCTAAATGGATTATTCTCTGCGTACTCATGATTACTATGTCGACTCACTTATATGATCCATTTCATCGTCATGTACTAAATATTGAAGATGAACAACGTCAATGGTGCATACTCACTTATAACAATTTTTTCCAAACTCTCAATCTAATTATCGTATCTTTTCATATTTTTATTCCATTTTCTATCAATGTCATGGCAGCCCTGATCATCATTGTCGTCGCTACTCGCCAACGACTCATCATTCGAAAGGAACACAATTATCAACAACATGTCTTTCAGCAATTAAAAATACACAAAAATCTTTTAATTTCTCCTTGTATTTTAATCTTACTCGCTCTACCTCGCTTGATTATCTCATTTATCTCCGGTTGTATGAATTCAATACGAGATCCTGGGCTTTTTCTCATCGGTTACTTCGTTTCGTTTCTGCCTTCAATGCTAACGATCGTTGTTTTCATTTTTCCGTCGAAGAAGTACAGGAGAGAATGCATCACATTGATCAAAGATGTTCAGAAAAAACTTTCATTTTTTCATTAATCAAATGGCATTTTTCGATGTTGTATATCGCAGTTTGCTAACAAAAAAAATGACAGTCGACGCCTTGCGAAAAGCATCGGACTCGATGAAATTACTATGTATGTAAATAAAAAGCTTGCTTATCGAGAAAATCTTTGATTCTTCAGTGCCG